ATTCACTTGCTCTTTGAAGAATGATTACATCAGTCAGTACATTTACTTAGGACAGAGAAGAACAGAAACCAAACTTTCTGCTCAGACAAGCTTGGGCTCCCTATCAAATGCACCCTTTCTTTTTTTTGCCTTAAGCAAAAAGTACCCTGGTATCCTGATGTTGTCACCTTCCTGAGCTAATGCTACTCCTCAGAGCTAAGGTAACAGAAATTTCAGTTGTTTCAGAGCAAAGGAACTCTCCGCCCTCCCAGCCCATTTCTTCCAACAGCGTATTTCTGAGTGATACAAGTGTTCATCTTTTCTTTACACAGATGACACTCTAACTGGTATCAGAATGATTCTGGTAGGAAATAATGTCTGAGAGAGACCTTTTGGGGCTTCCTGTGAACATCCAGCATATAGGTATGGGTAGCTCATCAGAGGAGGGAAATTTGCAACTTTCCATCAGCTGTATCAGAATGGGTCTCTGAGCCCTTTGTCACTTCCTAGCAAGATGTACACAGGTTTTTCTTCTAATCGTGTTTTGTGTTCCTTGTGAGATTACTGCAAGTTTTCTCATCTGTTGTCATCAATATTGTTTTTGTGTTTTTTTTTTTTGTCCAAAATACTACTGAGCTGTCATTTTTTTAGAGCTATCCACAGTAGCTCCAAGATCTCTTTCCAGAGCAGATCTGGGAGACTAATGTTATCTTTGAATGGGTATTTCCCCATGCACCTTACAATTCAATCTCATCTGACATATTATTGCTTACTCAGTCAATATCATGAAATACTCCTATATTTCACTGTCATTTTTTTTTGTTTTAATACTTTCTTATCAACAGTCTTTTTAATCTCACTTTTCATCCATTCTCCCAGATGACAAGTATATTGGGCAGAACATATTCTGGCACATTCTTGGGGAACTTCCCTAAGACAGCTCTTCATTCTGACAACCTGACCATTTGTTGCTGCCTTTTATTACTTACTAATTTACCCACTATTTATCTGTGAATCAACAACCTCTTTTATTCCATGGCACATAGTTCCTTTAAGAGTACGTATTATGCAAGGAAGCTCATGAAGTTTTCAAATAGTAGTATTCCTTTAAAGGCTTTTTAATTAGTATAGTATATGTTTACTCTGAATCTGTAATATAGTATCTTTAAACAATCTTCTTTCTGTCTGAAAACGTGTTATCTTTTTGGTTGCTAGTTTTAATTCAATTTTAAAACATCATCATTTTAACATAATCCTGTCTTTGAAGTTAACCAGTACCACAGAGGTTTTTTGCAGCCCTTTAAATTCCTTTAAGGATATTGAACTTGCATACATAGTGGTCACTGTTGGTCACCAATACAGAGTAGTTGCTCAGCAGAGACATTTTGAATCAGAGCCTGCACACTCCATAGGGCCAAGTTAAATGACACTTTGTGCCTTTGGAATTCTTTGTCTATCTATTCTAAGAAACAGCCAGGAAATCTGTTAAGTACAGCCTGGGGCCATAGTCTATTGGGGCAATTGAAAGTCCCATTTTTATGGAGTTTTCTGCCTTTGCAGTCCAGGTGGAGTTTAGTCATTCCAGGTACTGTCACCATCTTGTATGGCTTTCGTGCACTATTATTCCTATGTAGGCATGAAACTACTTGTGACACAATTGACTCCTAGTGTTCTGTAACATGTATTAATACATTGTCATTGCAACCTTAGGTTGTAACAAGAGATGATGATAAGAAAAGGAAGATCCTTAAGAGCATGCCATATCAAAGCTGCTATAATTTTTAGTGTAGGTTAGATAAATAAGAACTGGTCTTCAATTTAGCACTAGATAACTAGTTACATTTTGTTTCCATTTTTTTTTTTCCTGAGGCAAACCTCCGAGTCTTTCGAGACTTAATGTTCTAATGTCATAACATTCAAGCTGCTCGATCCCTAAGCATTGTGTTGTAAATTGCCTGTAGTGAATTTTTTTTTTTTGCTTGTTTCTTTTGTTGTGTCTTGTTTATTTGTTTGGTTGGTATTTAAGCAACATGAGAATGATAATAACATGCCTCTGTGGCTGGATATACTGGAAGCATGCCACATGTAATCCTGCCCTCTCCCTTTTTCAAATACAAAAGATAGAGGGACCAGTGTATCCTGTCCATATGGTTATGGAAACTGGAGAACGGGTTATGTGTGTAATTAACATGTCAGTAACATAATTCACCTTCCATTACAAATCCAAAGTAAAAAAGCTGAACAAAGTTTTGCTTGGTGTGGATGATTTGTGTGCAAGTTCTTCTGCAGATAATGCCTGAAGTGCAGTGTGGATAAATAATGCAGATGAGAATTTCATGCATGCAAAGTTTGTTTCCCTTGCTGCATCATAAACACACTGCTGTTTCTGATCACATTAGAATCAAAATGTAAATAGCTCCTGCTTTATCCAGGGATATTTAAATTGCCCTATCCTGAACATTTGTTTTCATGAATCAACTGAAAAAAAACAGGGTTGGGATTTTTTGTTAGTTCTCAATGTTCGATAAGCTCGGTTCAGTACCGGAGTCAATGATGAAACCTCAATTATATTTAGTAACAATGCACTAACAGTTACTGTGTTGGAAAACAAACCCTAGAAGCCTTTTTTTCTCATGGGAGAATTGTTAAATACACTTGTACAGGAGTGCCAAATGCAGACTTGGTGTTTAAACAAATGAACGCAAGTGTCAGAAAGTAATTTATTAAAAATTGCTTCATTGATAAAGAGAATCCTGCTGTTAATCTGAATAATTATATTTAAATAGGATTTGTGTTCTCTTGATTGGATAACTTAAAACCAGTTAGACTGAGTATATCGAGATCTTAATTTTAAGTTGCCAGATTATATTACTTTCAGTATGGATTTAAGAGAAAGTAGAGGAAGAAGGGAGTAGCTCTTCCATCCCTCTGCTCTGCTCAGACCAGCAGCACTCAAACCATTCTTGCTAGCTACTTGTCTAAAAAAACCTTCAAGGCTGGAGATTGAACAACCTCAGCAGGACTGTCTGTTCCACTAATTATGTATCCTTAATTTTTGAGTGGGTTTCCCTGTGTGATATGCCTGTTGACATTTAAGGTGTTCAGGTCCATGCAAAAGGCCACACTGGATTAGGTTCATGATCCCAGTCCTTCTGCCCTGCTGCAACAGTGGCTGACTCCAGATGTTTCAGAAGATCATGAGGTAAAGGATGTGGAAATCTGAGATGATTTGCCTCTTCTGGATTATCTGGTACATAAACAGGGGCACCATGGATCCTAATGCATGAAATGTAATCTCTCTTCCAAAATCTGTTAGCACTGAAAAATTAATATTCTTGCTAGCTTTATATTCTTTTGGCTGTGCAATTATTTTTCTCCCCTCTTAACATTCTGTGGCAGTGAGTGTCATAGTTTGTTTACCTGTAGTATGAGAAGTTATTTCCTTTTATCAGGTTTAAATTTGTTGTCTTTCAGTTTCATTCGCTGTCCCCTGTCTTGTGTGTTGGGCAATATGGAGAACAAAAGCTCTCAACATGTCTTCTCTGGAGTACTCATTACTTTTTTTGTCATATCCCTTCTTGCTGATGTTCTTTTAGAGTTGAACAATCAATTTCTTTTCAGTTCTTCTCAAACAACATTTTCCTCATCTTTCCCATAAGCCCTAGTAATTTTGCAATACTTTATTTTTTGAGACAGTGCTATGGTTATTGCACATGGGATTTGAAGGAAACCCACAATGCTGATTATTTATACAACGGAATGCTAATAATTTCCCTGCTGTTTTTCATCCCAATTCACACTTATATTAGCAACTTGTTTACTTTTTTTTTTGACTGCAATCACATTTGGAATTGGAATTTTACTTATTTTGCTTTAAACTGAATGTATTTGAGGTGAATTGGAGGTTTTGTTTCCATTATTGAATCCAAAGCTGATTATTATATTTTTATGCTGATGGTGAAAAGATACATGCCTGACCTTATTGCTTATTTTGTCTTGTACTGTTCTGCTGTATAGTTAAATATCCCAACGCTACTTTTTAATGAACTCTTATTAAGAACTTGGGCCAGACTGTTCTGAAATTATATTTAGAGTTGAACTCAGTGTATTATATTTACAATTGCCATAGACCTATTCTTTACTCTTCTAGTGTTTTCCACATTTTATTGCATATAGCTTTTTACTTCATGCCCTTTCAAAGATTTTTTCCCAGATAACTTTACTGTATATGGACAGCTGCAAGAGCTAAACAAAGACTATTTAAGTAGAAGTCAGTGTGTACTGCTAGTTTGCCCTTGCAAAAGAAATGTGTGTGTAACGGAGGAATTCACTCAACAGGAAAACCTGTTACTGATGAAACAGGCCTGCAAAGGTGCTCTTGAATTCTTTGAGATAAGATTTTTTTGAAGTCATTTACCTTTTTTCACTGGAGACATTAATTTTTTATTTTCTATGCCAGACACAAGGGCTATAGATGTCACTGCAACTTGAATAATTAAAATATTCTAGTTTGCGCACCCTAATAAATGATGTAACTTAAAGCATGGTGAGCTTGCTGGAATGAACTTACAGGTCAGATGCCACCTTTCACATTAGCTTTTTTGGCAGGTGAACTCACATATGCTAGACAGAGCCAGCAAAAGGGTTTGAAAACAAGGTTCTACAGCTTTCCTTGTTTCACTGAACATGCCTCACGAGTGGTTGCTACAAACTAATGCTCTTTGAGGAGCTGAGAATTACCTTTGTTCTTACATTTCCTGTGATTTATTCATTCTACCTTTCTTGATAACAGTCAGTTAGAAAGATGTGCAGGAGAACTCAAAATATCATGTTTTAAAAGTTGATGTGACTCGAAAAATATTTTTTGCAAACTTGTAAGTTATTTCTTCCCATTGTCGTGAAGTGCAAATTAATTTTCAGCTGAAGGCTTTAATGGCCAAGAATAATTTATATTGACTGCCGCAAGAACATTTTTGTTAATTGAATGTGGTTTAAGAGCATTACATGGCATGTTTTTGCAGACATTGATGAATGTGCAACTGGAAGGCATAGCTGTGCCAATGACACCGTTTGCTTTAACTTGGATGGGGGGTATGACTGCCGATGTCCCCATGGCAAGAACTGCACAGGAGACTGTATCCATGAAAACAAAATCAAGCACAACGGTCAGATATGGGTGCTGGAGAATGACAGGTGCTCTGTCTGCTCGTGCCAGGTCAGTAGAAACAGAAGCAGCTGCTTCTGCAAGATGGTGGAAGGGATGAAGGCAAGAGTTTCATGGTTCAAGTGAAATTCCTTGTTTAGCTGCCTTCTCAGGTATGCATGTGGTGCTACAGAAATATGGAATTCTATATTATATACAGTTTTAGGGAGAATTTCTCCTCCAGCTTACATGAGCAGAACTTCCATGGGAGGTTTGTTATGGGATACTGGGAGAAGGGTGATAGTACTGTTTTGTTAGCAGAGATGCCACCTGTGTTTTCTTGGTGAGAGTAACAGAATTTCCATGGAATTAAACCGCTATCTAGACACATACTGGGGTTGGTGACTGACTTCAGTGTCTCTAGCAGATGGCTATAAATAGAAATAGGTTCTGTATCTGCAGAGTAATTCAGCTTAACTTTCTCAAATGTTTGCTGTGGGAAGCTTGATCTGCAAGCTAAGTGCTAGTGGAGAATAAAGGCCCAATAGACTGCTGACAAAATCCTAAGCATTTCAGCAGCTCAGGTTTCATGGGCGTGAATTTAATTTCAGAATTCCTATCATCTTCCTTATGTGAATAATTACAGATGAGAGGGATTGCTCTGGAAGCTTAAAGAAAGGCTCAGCCAGGCATCCATATGAGACTGACATAAACAATGCAATCCATTAAAATTTGACCCTTGGGAAAGACACTGTTGGGTTTCATCAACTTAAGTGATGAAGGTTGGTTTTATGAACAGTGTGTATCAGACAACGGGGGAACTTCTTGATGAGCGTGTATTGTGGTTTCCACCTCTGTTGAATTGTGTTTTGACAAAGATTGTATAGTGGAAAAATTTGTGAGCTGCTAATGGCTTAGAATCATGCCAAAAAATCAAATTTTGGTTGACTACTGCTGGAGCTGGTCACATTTGTGCCATCACTCTATGTGATGTCTTGCCTGTCTTCCAACAGAGTGGCTATGTGATGTGCCGGAGGATGGTCTGTGACTGTGAAAATCCCACCGTTGACCTATTTTGCTGTCCTGAATGTGACCCAAGGCTCAGCAGTCAATGTTTACATCAAAGTGGGGAGCTTTCCTACAACAGCGGTGACTCCTGGATACAGAACTGTCAGCAGTGTCGCTGTTTGGTAAGGCTCCTGACTGCAGCAGCAGAGGCAGGATGGGAAGAGGATATGAGATGTTCTCATCTTTGAATATTTAATTTTCATGCATTAACGTCTATTTAATTTCCTGTGGAGTATGTGTATAATGAAAATCTGGTTTTCATGAGTATTTGTCAGTATTGTCAAGTTCCAGTCAAAAATGCGTTTTGACACAATAGACACAACAGAAAATATTTAATCATGAAGATTGTTTTAGCAAAGACTGGAGGACATTTGGATGTGGCACTTACACAGCAACACTCATGTTTTCACTCATTCAAGACCAATGAAGCTGTATAAGGAAATTCTAAATATGTATTTATTATCACGGTTGATAATTTCAAAGATGCCCATAGACTAAAATTTGTTTATTCATTCAGACATTCTGAGTCACAGAAAAAATAATAAGATTTGATGCAGTTTTAAAATAGTGAAATAAGGTTTGAAAAAAAAATCTGTTAAAACTCGTGATCTTTTTCCTAGGCATGTATTTCAGACTCAAAAAAAAAAATATTCTGCATAATGCTGCTCAGGAAGTTTCCATGACAGAAAAAAATACCAAGATAAAAACAACTAGCTTTTATCACAGGTTCTCTCCAAATGTAAAGCTTAGTCCATCTAGCTGCTTTCCCTTGTCAGACTATCATGAAAGACAGCCAGAAACCAACTTGTGTAGACACTGTGCTTTCAGTGTTACCACTGCTAAAATCCAGTGAAATAGATTCCCAGGTGCTTCATTAAATGTCTTCAAAACAATCTAAAACAACTTACAGTTTGGGATCTCAATAGATGTCTCTTTTTTCAAGGTGCTACTTCTGTAACTAAAGCTTCCTTTCTTTCAGTTGTCAGGGATTTTTTTTTTTTTGGGTGACGGTGTGTTGTCTGCTCTTTGTACTGTCCACCACTACAAAAAATAAATAGAAATATCAAGATCAGTGACTGGGTTTAAGATGGATTTCATTCTTATTATCAAGTGATTTAAAAAGACTAAAATTGACCCAGATGAGAATTTTTTAAAAGTCTAACTTCACAATACTGTCTACAACAAGGGAAGTAAATTTTCATCTATGGCAAATCCCTGGGAATTTTTTTCAGCTTTTGCTCTGATGATGTTCATTCATTCTCAAAGCCTTCAATACAGTTTTTGTGAATAAACTTCTTTTCTAGGGCCAAATGCTGTTCTCTTTGCCTTCCTTAAATCCAGACTACTCAATCTGTTCTCAAATGAGCTAAGTTGGAGGTCAGAGATGGACCTGCTCCAAAAGAAAAATGTAGTAATGACTTCTGTGAAGTCTTTACTTTGACCGATAGATCTGGAACTGTGGTGCTTGCCCAGGGTTGAAGGGAAGCTGACCCCAGCTCCTAGTAACTGACATGTGTAATTAGATATCTTTAGATTTGTGGACAGGCATGGAGTAACTTCCCTTAAGAATATTCTGGCCCAGCTCGAGTCTCTCTTTTGACCTTTTCATACCCTGACTGTACTGAACCCATCATGCAGAAAGTGTGATTAAGTTTGGAAGTTCAGATTTTCTGATCGTAACATCCTAAATGGATGGTAAGGGGGTGAAGGTCCTCTCACTGAAAACATGCTGGTGTTCTCTGCTGCACTGGGCTGCTGGTAGCTTGACAGCCTTAGTTCAGCCAATGCATTTGCAACCATGGCAAAGATGAACTCAAGCCCATCCAGAGCTGAATTTGAGGGCTTTCTACGGCCAGCCACCAGTCTGAATAGAGTTAAGAACTAGATGAAAAGGAAGATTTTGAAGCAGTTTTGCGATACAGCCCTATTATGGCTTGTGTCACTTCCAGAAGTAGGACTTCCCAGGGACATATCCGTATTCTGTATTGCATGATGTTTGTATAGAATTTTCAGCTGCAGCTTGATGCAGAGAGTGTTGAAGAAAGTTAAATCTAATATACTTCATGAACAGCACGCAGGAAAAAGCACCTAACTTGCTGTGTCTCCCACAGGCAGTGAGTATCAGTGTTCTCTGCACTGACTCCTGAGTAGGACCAGATGGATAACACTAGCCAGCTAAGAAACTCTCTGCTGGGTCAGAGGAGTGGGTAATGAAAGAAAAATAAGAGCTAATAATCTTCCCTTGGTCTTGTCATATTTGTAAACAGCAAGGCGAAGTTGACTGCTGGCCCTTGCCCTGCCCAGAGGTGGATTGTGAGTTCAGTGTCCTCCCCGAGAAGGAGTGCTGCCCACGCTGTGTCACCGACCCCTGCCAAGCGGACACCATTCGCAACGACATCACTAAAACTTGTCTGGATGAAACCAGTGTTGTTCGCTTCACTGGATCTTCCTGGATTAAGCACGGCACGGAGTGCACCCTCTGCCAGTGCAAGGTAAAGAGCAGGAAAATTAAGCTGAGAGCTGAGATGCTTCTTTCCCAGCTTGTTCTGTGGCATATAAATGTGAATGCACTGAGTCTGGTCAGTGGATAGTTGGTGTCTACATGTGTTTTAAAGCAGTGGAGATAACAGTAGAAATGTTCTGCTTAACGAGTTTTACTCTTGCATGTATTAGAAGGATGGTTTAATGTGGTAGCGGGTCAGAAGCAGGACAACAGCCCATGCTGCACTGTGCTGTGGACACAGTAGTGGTCTGGTTTCCCACCAAGCTATCTCAATTCAGGTTTGACCAGAGCTCTCAGTGTATGGCTCCATGCTATCTTGGAAACATATGCCATAACAAACAGGTATGCAAGACTTGACTTCACAAAAGAAAGTTGTTCTATGTGATACTGTAGTATTAGCAGAACTGATTTAATTGCTTTTTGAGAAGAATAATTGTTTTGAGAATTAAAGGGCTAGTTACATGTTTACATAGCTTTCTTGCTTTAAAATTAATAGTAGAATCAACGTGTTTAGAACATTTAAGTTTTTGTCGTCAAAGGGATTCACTGAGGAGAAAAAATGGCTATGGGTTTGATGTGAATTCTGTCATCTCTTTTTAAAGATGCAGAAGAAAAGGAGATTAAAATAAGTTTTTCAATTCAAAATAAACCTGTATAGTGAACTGTATTTTCCATCATCTAGCACTGAAGAACGACAGTGTTTCTGCAGTAGTCAAGGAGAGAGAGACAGCAGGATTCATCCAGAGGTGTTTATTAGTGAAATTCACAATTGATTTTGATCTTTATCCCATGTCCTTATGAAGGAAGATACTTTCCAAACTCAAGTACATGATACAATTAACTGATCTGAAAAGATGCTAATAAAGTATATCTAACATCAGCACCTCCTGCTGGGAGAGATGGGAGGTAACAGATCTCGTAGCAGCTGTTAAGCACCAACTTCTTCCACCACTTTGTCTGATGCAATGGTGTGCTCAACAGCAGTTACTGCTGCTGAGGCAGAGTCCTTTTATGAGAGAAGTGGTACGTGCCAAATAAGTGTAGGCATTTGCCTTGATGCCAGAATGGTGGTTAAGAAGAAAATTATGTGACCTAACAGAGTGGTTAGTGGTTAGAAAGCCAGCTGCCACACAAAGGATGTTGGAACAGGTTTACAGGCAGAAGCCCGTACTTTTTGGGTCTGTAGCTGGTGGGATACACCAATTCCAGTGCTTGAAGTTAGTTTTTGCTTGGGCAAGTTGCTGAGGTTTATGTGCCTCAGTTTCTCCATCTTTAAAACAGTTGTGTGTGGTTATTCTCTAAAGCACTTTTGAGATTTGGGGGTAGGAAATGTGTTGCTGTTGTACTGCTAATCAATGGCCGTGCAGAAGCCATGGAACAGTTCTGCTGACGGTCACCTGTGTGCTGCCTCTAACTGCAGGAGTGAAAGAAAATGTTGGAGTGATTTGGATGGTCTTTAATCAATCCTAGCAGTTTAGTTGACTGAAGGTACTTGGAATAATTTAAAAACAATACACACTTTTTGTTTGCATTGTAAGAATCTGACTTAAGAAGTAGCAGAGATGCAAAAAACAATTTCTCCAGTACTTTAATAATGTCCATAGGCAATTTGTTCCCTTAATTGCTAGAATTCTCAGAAGAATGCCTAGACTGTCAGGAAAAACTTTATGGATTAATATTTGCCTGTGTTATAGCCAGGATGTATTAACTTGAATCATTCAGGGCTAGATAAAACCTGGAGTCCCTTCTGCTTGATGTAAATAAAACTCCCAAGTACCTTGTCTTGTACAACAGCTTTGTGTACTTGCTCAGGTGCCTGACACCCTTTAGTCAGGAGTATTTCTCCCATTGATCCTAGGTTTCAGTTTGACTGTTGTAGCTCTGGGATACAGACCACAGCAAACTAGGCAGTTAGAAGAATCATAATAGCTCATTCCCTTGGGCAAAGGAAGGACACGATGGCAATGTCATGAATCTGATCAAAACCTAGAGATGTCTTGTGTTTTCATGAATGTGTACGTGGATGGGGGATTGCAAACAGCTGAGATTGTTAAATGGACTTGGTTTGTACGAAGCACTCATTGTTCCACTCTCTCTGTTTTTCTTTCCTTTAGAATGGCCACGTCTGTTGCTCAGTGGACCCACAGTGCCTTCAGGAACTGTGACAACAACAACCATCTCTCACAAGCAGTTTCTGGTTAAAGAATTTTCCTTCACAAAGTAGACCCTTAGACCAAAAATCGTACAAAATTAAAGCTAAAATGAGATTGGTTTTGTCCATTTAAAGTGCAGATACGTGATGGACTCAGTTACTTGAATCAGAGTAAAATTCGTGGGACTCGAGACAAGCTCAGATGCGTAAGCCTTTGTATGAGGTCAGGCCCAAATCTTCTGGCTATTTGTCTGTCTGACATCATTATGCAGAATATTTAGGTTAGTGTAAAGTGACACATTGTATTCCTGTACATAACGATGTCAAGATCCAAAATAAACTAGGAGCTCTTACAGGGTCTTCCAAAGCTTTGAGAGTCCAACACTTGACCAGATGCAGAGATTTTTACCTATTCATATTTGAAACTGAAAAATGTGTTTGATTTTTCACTGCAGAATTTAGCAGATGTTTGAGTAAAAGGATGAAGCCTTCAGGTATAAAGAACCTAGCAGCTAAGATGTGATATGTACAGTATGTGTGCTGAAAAAAAAATAAAAGATAGACGTTATTGTAAAAACAAAAACTAACAAACAAACAAGAAAACCCGTGATGCACAGGCATGGCTTCTTAATGTTTTCTGATGGGAAAAGTCATCAATATTTCCTTGTTTTACTGCACTTACTATTATTTCTTGATTGAATTTGTTCAGTATAAGCTCGTTATTGTGCAAATTTAAATAAATATTTCTCTTACCTTAAGTTTCTGTTTTTGCTGTCTTTTCTTTTCAAGGATGTTGTTTTAATGCATGTTATTACTGTTTCTTCTTTGCCAGAATGAGTAGGTAGGTGGGCCATACAAGTGGAGCATTGCTTGTCTAGCTCCTCTATGCATGGCAGCTTCTTCCAAGCACAGCCTCACGCCCGTCATGTCTTATCTTTGTTATTCTTCTGGGAACACATAAGTAGCATCAAACATCTGAGTCATTACAGTGGATTGAACAGAAAATTCATCTGCCGAGAGACCAGACCCTGCATGCCAGCAGGGTGCTGTCAGGCAGAATGGGTTACAGACCATTTCTGTGTGGCTTGCATCTGTTCAGATTTATGGGGGATCTTCGCAGATTTCTCCTCTCTCCAGCTGCTAGGGGTTGGTTTGTTTTCTGTAAACTCCACAGCTGTTTTAGTTGTTTCTGTAAAGTATCTTAATGCATGGGGATAGCTTCAATATGCAAACCCTATTTTCCCTACTGTACTGTTGGGACAATAAATAGAAGAGGCTTTGTGACCAAAGCTGTGCTATTCTGGAAGAGAAAGAGTAAAGCAGTGCTTACAGATTATGGGCTGAAAAGGCTGAATTTGTAAGGAATACCTCACAAACACTTGAGACAAAACAGGAGAGGAAGAAAAACTGCCCAAGATGACAGCATCCTTTAAATACTGCTTTAGTAGTCATGTTCTTTTTGAAGTGCCTTGCTGCTCTTCACCATCTCTTACCAGTTCAGCAGATTGTCATGCAACCTGGACAGGCAAAACTTCCCATTATGTTACCCCGGTGTATTATTAAGTTACAAGGGAAGTGCATGTATATGTTTGTTAAAAAAAAAAAACATAATTATTTTCCTCCAAGCAGATGCTACTTCACAGTGTTTCATGTACAGCAGGAGGTCAAAGGAATGCCATGCAACTGCATGTGTATGGTAGGCATTTGTTGAGCCCTGAGTACTCAGCAGCCCTAGTGTCTGGTGAGTACTGAATGTCTTTGGAGCAGGAAATAGAAGAGACGCTAGGCCACTGAATGCAAATAATACAAACAAACCCAAGAAACTAAAAATCTGGGAAAAAAAATCAAGCAAACAAAAAAAACCCACAAAAACAAACAGAAAAAAAACCCACAGCCCAACAAATTGATAGTCTTCATTGGACCATTAAAGCTATGAAGATTTCCAGACCAAAGAAATCTTCTTCCTTACCTGGTCCATAAGCAACAGCTACTGAAGGATTTTACTGCATTGTCCAGTTCCTGGCAAACTGCAAAATACTTTAAGAGTGTTAGGTCCTTGAAAAACAATCTGTTCTCTGTACAGTGTTTTCTTGCTTCCTGGTAACTGTTAGGAGGACATGTTTTCCCCTCAGATGCAGAAACACATCTTCAGTGGATGCTTCAGGCCTGTTTCTGAGAGAAGGTTTAGCAGACAATGTTGCTGCTTAAGAATTACATTTCTCTTTCAAGAGTATGTGTCAGATAGATAGACACAGGAAAAGCGTGAAGACCAGACTTCTTTTTTTGAAGAGAGCTAACATTTTTCAAGGGCAGAAACCTCATACTCTGTCAGGGACTGCAGAAAACTGAAGGAAAGCAGTGGAGCTGGTAGAGGGAAGGGCAGATGATAACCGCAAAACAGTTGTAAGTGTCCCTATTTTAGGTCCAGGGATAAATTATGGGTGAGGCAAGTCTCCATGACCTCATTCTTCTTCAGTGCATCCACCGACATCAGGTTTAGACCTATAACATACATGAGAACTGGAAAGAAAATGATCTCAAATTTTTTCCTCAATCCTTTCTGGAAGGCAGAGTAATACTGGTGTTTAATCCCAGCTTTTAATCAAAACTAAAATGGTGTGCAGACAGAAAACAAGCATCTCTTTCCTTTCATTGCCTACTCTGACCTGTATGTTGTAGGATCTTTCTGCTGTTGTAGGTTCATGACGCACAATGAACTATAAAACAGACTAAAAAGACAAGAAAACCTTGAATCAAATCCTTGGAAGAGACAGTCGTCGTTACATGTATGTAAAGAGCAGAAGTCATACTGCTGAACAAAGCTGGAATCCTCTGCTAACTAAAAAATGAGAATGCATTAAGTGAATATTATCTAATTTATCAATGTTCCCAATTACTAATCAGTTGGGAGTTCTTCTAAAGGTCAACAGACTCCAATGAGACATCTTGGTGACTCTCATTTTCATTCCTTTTCACCCCCTCTCCCCTATCTCCCTTCTGTTCAGTCAAGCCAGTAATTAGTAGCTCATGTTTTTAATTTTCCTTGAAAAGTAAATTTAAATATTATTAAAAATTGATGTGTAATTTCCAGGCTTAAATTATCTGTCAGATGATACAGTCCATAAAAAAAAAATGGTATTTCTGAACGATGCAGGTACGTTGTGCTCTCTTAGTGGCCTTTCATTATTGATGCACTGTTTGCAGTGTTTGCAGTACCAGAATTCAATAACTTGCAGAAAAGAATTGTCACCTCTCTGCAGAGTAATTGCCCTAAGTTAATAGACCCATAGATATAAAGGCGAAGATGTCTTCAGTCACAATGCTGGCTTCGATGCTGTGCCGAAACAAGTTGACAAAAAGCAGCAGTGTTGTAAACTGTTGAAAAGGGAGCTAAACGTGCAGCTGCAGATTTGTGGTACTCACAAATTTACTATGGGCAAGAACAAGGGCTGGCTGCCTCAGTCCTCTTTGTGGCTAAGGACATCTTTGCCTTCTGTTAGATGTCCACCTTCAACAACTGGTGAAATATTAGTCATATCAGTCATTAGTCATAGCTGGAACACTGGCCATTGCTTTTTTTCTAGGATGCATGAAAGCAGATATTTATACAGGGATTGCTGTAAAACTCCCCTCCTTCAGTGCCAGCATAGGGGCTTGCCACTAGCAGATGACTACAGCCTACAGCAGATACACCTTGAGGCACCTCAGAGAAGCACAGCCCCATGAGCCACAGAGCCACAGATCTCAGATCTTGCTGCGATACAGCATCCATAGCTGCTGACTTCAAATGCAGGATGTGTATGGGGTGGCATCTCCTCCTTCAGGGACATGGTGAGTCTCATCTCAAGTGGGTCACCTGGGGGGAAGTGCTTAGCTGTGGGGTAGGTTGCACGGGCCAAACAGCACTTGTGATTCGCCTCCAAACTGGAGGAGACTCCCACTGCAGCACAGTGATGGTGCTCAGCTCACATGGCCCCTCAACAGGCAGGGATTCCCTTGATTTCTCAGATAAAAATAGCAGCAGCTTTAAAGTAGGACTCAGCTAGTTATTTTTTAATGGTGAAACACTTAGAGGCAAATGCAGTTTAACTTGTCCCTAAACCAGTTAATAATTTAAGTTAAAAATCACCAGATAGCTTTTCCTATCCATATAAAGAAAATGTTTCAGAGTAATAGGAGTAAAAAGATGAGAGCAGCTCTGGCATCTCCTGAGTGGGTGACCCCTGGAGAAGTGTCTCTTCTTCAGTGCATCAGTAAATCTCACTGCAGTTGTGTCTTCCACGCAGGTCGCAGCTATATTCACCAAGTCACAATCCTGGCCATCTCTTCTATTATTATTTTAACTGCTAATCAAAAATTTAGAACTTCTTGTAGCTTTAGCATGGTGGCCAAATCTCTGTCCTGGGAGAAAAGACAAAGTGTACCACTGGATTTTTAAATAAGAAGAATTTTAGAGGGAGTGTCACAGTTTAGGGTCAAGGCTGCCCCCATACCTATAACTGATGCTCTCTGTTAACCCCTCTCCCCTGCCAAAGGGGAAGAGAAAGGGAACAAGGGAGAGAGACTGGTACATTAGAAAAACAAACCAGCTTTAATGAAAATAATGATAATAAAATGGAATATATAAAAATATCTACTAAAATAGTATCAAATCCAACACCACACCCCCAATGGCAATTATATCACCATCATTACTGATGCTGTGGAGCAGGTACTGGGGAAACTCAGAGACTGGACTCAGTGCCAGACAGGAACCGGATACAGGAGCTGTTTTCTGGAACTGGATTCAGGAACACACAGTTTGGGATCAAAGGCAGAATGAGTGCAGTCCTCCTTGGATGATGGCCATTGAAGAAGAGAACTTGACCCTCGTGATCCCTCAGCTTTATACTGAAGAAGACATATATGGGATGAATATCTTGTTGGCCAATGTAGGGTCACCTGTCCTGGCCACTTGCGCCTGAAGGTGTGGCACACCTCAGTGTGGTACACAAGATTTAGCAGTGACCTTGATCTGCAGCCCAATCCTTGGTAGTAACATCAAGCATTATCACTTCTAGAAGCAGACGCTGTCTGTGAAAATATGCCATTAACTTCAGAAAGTGGAGGTAGTCAGAAGAGACTGAGCTGAAAAGTAAAATCACTGAACAGAACTAGTTCTGTTCCAACTCAAACCAGGAAAGAGGGCCTGAAAAGAAAGAGATTGTGTTAAACCCCCTGTTTCTCAGATCTCTGTTGCTTTTCATCAGCCGTGAGAACAATCACTAGCACATCAGCATATTTCCCTCTTTTCATTTTTGTCAGTATGGTGCTAATGGAAAATGACAAAAATAAAAAATCAATTGTTAAAATCAATTACTCATCTAGGTCTGCACTAATCAGTACTTTCTTATTGCCAGAGTTCACACAGTCTGTAAAATGCCAAATAGACATTGTTTACTATAACAGGAGATTTGCAAACCTATATTCTACTAATCTGTTCATAGATTATTTCTATAACATGAAACTTTTACTACTACAAATCATAATAATTTATTGATCACATATTTCATCCATAAGTTAGACAAACTCAATTATTATGCTTCATCTTAAAATCTGGTTTTGTCAGTAATCTCATTTTACCATTTTAGACTTCAGATTAACTCCTAGGATGTCATTTATGTATCAGCAGTATTGCTTGGAATGGTGAAATGAAGTTATTTAAGGGCTTATTTTAGGGCTGAGTCATATTTGAAAATCAAAGTAATTAGAACTGCAT